ATAGATAAAAACACCCATCATACTTTTGTATCATCTTTTGCAGATGACTAAAATAAGCATGAAAGTCACTACAATAGAGGACACTGAAAAATTACAAGAAGACATAAGCAGGGTTTTCCAGTGGGCAGTGAAGAACAACATGACATTCAATGGTGATAAGTTCCAACTGCTTCGGTAAAGAAAGAATGAAGAACTCAAAAGGAATGCTGTATACAAAACTCAAGAGGGTCACCAAATAGAATGAAAGGAATACATAAAAGACCTGGGAATAATTATCTCAGGTGACCTTTCTTTTAAAGACCATAACAAGACAAAGATCACGACAGCCAGGAAGATGACAGGGTGGGTATTGAGAACTTTCAAAACAAGGGAAATAATGCCAATGGTGACACTTCAAATCGCTGGTGCTTCATTTAGAATATTGCTCAATGCTGACGGCCCCATTCAAAGCAGGAGAAATATCAGAGCTGGAACAAATACAGAGAACATTTATGGCTCACAGTGAGCCAGTAAAGCACCTAAGTTACTGGTAATGCCTTCAAGTCTTGAACATGTACTCACTGGAGCAGAGGAAAGAGAGATGCATGATAATATATACACTACCTGGAAAGTACTCGAAGGCCTGGTCCCAAATCTGCACACTGCCATAACATAGTGGATTGAAATATGGGAGGAAGTGTAAAATAAACCCAGTGAGGAGCAGGAGTGCGGTGAGTACAATATGGGAACACTGTATCAACATCCGAGGTCCCAGACTATTCAACATCTTACCAGAAGATATCAAGAGGAAACTGGACAAGTATCTTCACCAGGTGCCAGATCAACCAGGTTGTGATGGCTATGTGGGGCAGCAGGCCTCCAGCAGCAACAGCCTGGTTGACTAGGCATGCACCAGACGAGCCTGGCCCATGGCCGGGCTCCAAGAGTAATGAAATTCTTGAAACTCTTCAAAGGTATATCAGAGGTACTACTATGTGGAAAGCCACTTGTTATGCAGAACATTTCTGGCAAATTAGGTCAGTTTTGTCCTAGGATGCAACCTATACCAGTCAACTAACACCCAGGTACCCTTTTTACTGATAGATGAACGTAGACAATCGGTGTAACGAAACATGCCAAATTTTTCTACCCTCGCCAGGAATCAAACCCGGACATTTGCTGTGTGAAGCTAGAGCTTTAGCCACCAGACCATGGGGCAAGTTTGTTTTTAGTTATGTAGAATTTAACGTAGGATGACCTAATATTTAATAAATTGGCCAGAAACCTATTTTGCATCTTCAGAATCCTATGATGCCTGTTAAGTGTATAAATTACATTAAAACATTGAGGCTACAAACAAAATAATGATTAACCTAACATGCTTAACAATAAACAATAATTTTATCCCATGAGGCACCTGAAATAAGACGATTACATGACCGTGCAAAAAATGTAATGACGATGAAATAACTCATAAATGGGCTGCAAAAGGTGCCTTTAAATAAATAGTCATCGCATTAAATCTGATTACTGTATCTTTACACTTTAATACAGCGTGACACATGCATGAATGTAGACATAGTTACTGCTATACTGACCTTTTTCCCCCTGGGCGGATTCCTCCGTAGATACGATGGAAGCCCAAAAATTTAGAGAATAAGAATTAAAAACACTGGTTCATACACAATCAATAGTTCACAATAACAACAAACAGACGATAAATTAACTGATATATGAAGACTATAACTATCCAGCCATTGGCTTAGTATAACTCTTAGCCAATGGTATTTGGTCAATGGTCTCTGTTTATATATAACGTTTTCTATGATAATTCAAGACATAAGTTTTCTTTCATTTTTGAACAATATGTATATATTTTGCTTTTAAATAAAGTTCGCATAGAATATAGGGGATGGTCGAAGAAAATATCCAAACAGATCCGGGGAGAATCTTGAGTTTTCCCTAAAGTATGTTTATTGTCTTCTCTGGTGGCTAAAGTCCCGCTTCACACGGAGGGCCCGGGTTCGATTCCCGGTTAGGCAACTTTAAAGTTGCCTAACTGTTGCCTATGTGTCTTACCTACCATCCAGGTACCTACTTATTGCTAGGTCAACATGGGCAGCAGGTATATGGAGTCATGCCCATCATCTTAATCTTACAGTTCCTGCAGGTGATCGAGCCTTGACCCTGAAATAAGTAACTGATTTTTTGGGTTATCCTTTGTAATGTACACATGTCACTATGTATGATAATAGTAGTCATCAAAATTTGTGTAATTGTACTTATGTATACCTATATTAAATAAACTTACGTTCTTACTTACCTACTTTCTTACTAACAAACAAGACCCCAGTGGAAATAAGTCACTTTGACTTTTTTGGGGATATCCTAGGTAGCCTACACACCTGCGATGTATGGCAATTTAAGTACCTGTATTTATATGTCACAGTACCTGAATAAATTTACATAATAAACTTTCTTTTCCCGAGCTCTTAGGTTAGATAAGGTTAGTTAGGACACAGGACAAGTGTTTCCTGACGCGGGTCTTAGTCAGATGATGACCCGTCGTTGGAACTTTTGGTCATCTGACCGAGGCCTTCCGCTGGCTTACCGGTCCACCTTTTTAAAAAATAACGGTAATAGTTATAACCATTTTTTATTTTTTATGACTGTTTCATTGCCGAGGTCTGGGTCAGAAGGGTTCACTAAGGGAGGATCCTGGGCAGCCCTTAACACCCCTGGATCAGAAGGGTTCACTAAGGGAGGATACTGGGCAGCTCTTAACACCCCTGGATCAGAAGGGTTCACTAAGGGAAGATACTGGGCAGCCCTTAACACCCCTGGATCAGACGGGTTCACTAAAGGAGGATACTGGGCAGCCCTTAACACCCCTGGATCAGAAGGGTTCACTAAGGAGGATACTGGGCAGCCCTTAACACCCCTGGATCAGAAGGGTTCACTAAAGGAGGATACTGGGCAGCCCTTAACACCCCTGGATCAGAAGGGTTCACTAAGGGAGGATACTGGGCAGCCCTTAACACCCCTGGATCAGAAGGGTTCACTAAGGGAGGATACTGGGCAGCCCTTAACACCCCTGGATCAGAAGGGTTCACTAAGGGAGGATACTGGGCAGCCCTTAACACCCCCAACACAACCTCTGACGTAGGATGTTTGTTCCAGGTGTCTTGTCTTCTTCCACTTGAATCCTTCCATCACTCCCGCTGTCTTTCACATGACAGTTAATACTTAGGATACTTGGAGTGGTATGGTAATCACACGCAATACACTGTTCTTTGTTTTAATAGGTACAACGCTTTGTGTGTATATTATTAAAAACTGTAATACCTTCTACAGAGATCTTATATTTTAATATTTTGGACTTTTAATGGAGTTGTTGAAGGTCTCTTGGAATTGGAAATATTATTCCCTTTATTGAATGAATCAAATTGTTTCCCACTGTCTGACATTTTTTTTTATTATCCATGGTAATTCACACGTATGTTATTATGTATAATTTGTGTAACAGCACTTATGTGTACCTGTACCTAAATAAACTTGCTTATCCAGGCGCTGTTTGATCCATACGGGTTTGCTTTGTGTGTAAATCTGGAACTGTAATACAGTATTTCAATGATTTCATAAGGAAGAAAAAGAGGAAGAAAACTTTTTTTTTTTAATTTTAACCTCCCCCCCCCCCCAAAAAAAAAAAAAAAAAAGTTAGTAAACCAGGATAATCCACTAACATGTATATTTTCCATTGCAGTCCTTTTTTTTCCATTGCAGATTTTTTTTTAAGGTTCTGCCCAAGGATGAAGTCCACAACAGTTGGCTAACTCTTAGGTACATACTTACTGCTAGATAACTGGAGCAGCAGTCGTTAGGAGACTTCCCCTCCCCCATGCATTCAACCTCGTAGAGGCACTCAAAACACACAAAATGTAGTGCAGTACATTATAGAATTAGTGACTGATGTATCTAAAATAGTTTATTGAAAACCCATTATTATGGAAGGCATTCCCCTCAAGGAAGGTTCCTTGATGCTGGTGAAGGGCTCTTGATCTACGGAATTTGATCTGTGCTCCAGTTCCCTGAATTAAGCCTGAATACTTTCCACATCCCCCCCCCCACAGGCGCTGTATAATCCTACGGGTTAAGCGCTTCCCCTTGATTATAATAATATAATATGCAAGGCATTTTGGGCAGCCTTTTGATTTTATTTCTTGTTCGATCTGGCACCTAAACATTTAATAGAAAAAAATAATCTGTAAACAAAGGCACTATCAAAAATTGATGCAATCATTCAGTATTCTTGAAAATGCAGTGCAATGTCTCCCACCCAAAGATGTCAGATATTTGATGATCTGCTATAATAATTATCCAGTGAGGGATGTATGCCTGAAAATTTAAGTAATATATTGACATCCCCAAATACTGTACATTACAATATTAATGAAGTGAAAAAAAAAGGAATCTATTCATTTTTTTTAATACTGTAGCACTGTAGTACTTTATATACTATAGTACATTTATTAATATTATTTTTATCTTTGGATTATCAGTGTTTCAGATGCACCACTGTTGAAGATGGATTTTTCAGCAGTTCAGTTTGGTGATGAAATCCTAGGTTTGTACATTATTTCTGGTACAGTATTACAGAATTTCTTTGTTTTTTAAATGTGTAAATTGTAAAGAAATTTATAAGGAATCAGTATATCAGCAGATTTACAATTAAATCTGCTGATTTACTATAATTTAGGTTTAACAATGTAGGTAATATATTATCAGATTGGCATACCGCTGTATTTATCAGTAATGTATTTCCTGTAGCAAGTAGGCAACCTGGTTCTGATCTTCTACAAGAATTCTGTTATGAGGAAAGTGAAGGGGAGTACCCCATTCCTTCTGCCACTGAAAGCTCTCTCTTGTAGCTCATTTCTACAGCACCATACGATGGTATACCTTATTTTAGATAATCTGTGGAGGCTGTCAGGTAGAACATCTGTCTCACATGTACTAGATGCATGATTGAGCCTCCACTTCGTGCACTGAATAATCCAGTTTTGTTTACATATTTCTCCTCACTTGCACATTTAAAAATGCTTAAATTCTTAAAGGTAGCAGAAATGTATGGTGGAAATTTACCTTGAGGCTAGATCAAAGAAGAGGAGGGTTCCTAGAGGAAACTAAACATTAAAGACAGATATTTAGGCTGAGTGCTTTATTTCCATTACAGCATTACTGTACTTTGTTGGTGTTACATAAGTAATATACCACTATATAATCACTACTTGTCACATGTGTATTGATGAAAAATACAGTGGACCCCCGGTTAACGAACTTTTTTCATTCATAGTATGTTAGGTGCCATACTGACGAATTTTTCCATAGAATTTGGATCATTTTTCATTTCAGACCCAAACTACGTACAAATGACTTACTAAATCACGTTACATATTGGGGCATGGAGGGATCGTTAGCGCGGGTCATGTACTTTTGTCAATTTGTGATATTTGGTGAACCCTATTCATACTCTTTTATAAAGGTATAATGAGAGCAGCACGTTCATGAGGACAGCTCAGCTATGCAGATTGTATCTGGAGATGTGGGGAAGCTTTCTCTCTGTGGAGAATTTACACGATACCAGATGGAGATTTCATAAGCAGTGGAGAATATCAGGAGAGCCGCACAGTTTTGGTGGATGGAAGTGATCACTATGGAGTTTCTGCTGTTAGTGTTGATAGGAAAGAGGAGCTGGTGTGGATGGGAAATTCAGGAGTAAGTTTAACTCTCTTTTTGTGTGAAACAGTCACATAATCCATTAGTGGTGTATTTTTCTTTAGTTTAGCATTAAATTAATTTTTAAGGTGATGCTTAAATGATAAACTGTTATTAAATTATATTAATACTGTGATATTAAATTATATTAATACTATGACACACATTATCATATGTCTTGCATTTGTGCAAATAATGAAGCATTTACCATGATAATCCAGCCTATGTATAGAAGCAGAAAAGCTTTTATACTTAAAAAATAATTTTTTAACCAACAGGGACACGTGACATCATATCTAAGCACAGACCTCATGAAGTACACTTCATTCCAAGTGCATGCCACTGAAGAAATTCGTGATATTTGGGCTTATGACCTTGGGATACTTGCACTGACACCTACTTCATTAAATATGCGCACCAGACAAGGAATTCCTGCCTTCACACACCAGTGAGTTAAATGTATCATCCCCTGAGTATATACTGTAAAACATACATTTGAGCTTTCAGTATTATATTTAGTATATTATACGTAATTGCTTTGCATAGCATGTGTATATTTTTCACTTCTTGTTACTTGGAAGGATTATTTTCTCATATAGGTGATCTCTTGTGGAATCTGTTCATTGAGACATTTCATGATTTCAAGAAATGACTTTTATAAGAACTTCTGAAAGATTTTACTAAAAAATTGCACATAATGTTTTTGCTATTGTAGATGTGAACAAATTATAACGCTTCAATTCAGAAATAAGATGCATTTTAAATAGGAGTTCTTAGGGAACCATCTAAAAGAATATGTGAAAAAAATAGAAAACATCAGAAAATTGAAGACATGGATATGGAGAAAGCAAAACACACCAGCAGGTGGTACTGCAGTATGAGGATTGCCAAAGAAAAGATTCATTTGTGGGGAAATGAGTGATACTTTTACTCTCCCTATAAAAAATAGGCTTTGGCCACTTTAAATCAGTTCTAGGATATACAGTACATTATGTGCATCTTTAAATTTATACAGGTGTTGGATGCAAATTACCAGTACCTGTTTAGTCATGTTTTAATAGTACATTTGAGCACCATTAATCTGTACTCATCTTGACGAGCTGCTTTCACCTGATTCTAGCATTCTGTTAATAAAAATATTGAAAGTAAATATGAAAGACATGTACTGCAAATAGTTTTGAATGTAATATAGCCAAATTTTTTTTTTCACTGAATAGGTCGCCACAGTTAGAGAACATGCAATGTATGCTCCAACTGGGAGGAAACTTCTCTCACAGACTGTTGCTGGGAGGTCATCAGAGTTCCATGGTAGAATTTGATCTCACCCGCCAGGAGCAAACCAGATGTGTAAGTCAGCTTTGTAATAATATTTTGCCTTAATATCATTGCTGCTTAGTTAGCTATCTATTTATTTGTGCAAATATATTTAGTGTATAACATTATTTTTCATTTCAGAGCATGGTAGCTCAAATAGCACATGATTTTCGTTGACATAGTGGCTAGTGATCTCCATATTTATTGTTGTAAATTTACAGAAGATATGTAGAGTTAATTTTTTTTAAGGCAAAGAAATTTACCACTGGTTATTCACAACTTCACACTGCCACTGTCTCTTTTAAAGTGGAACTTTTTTTTTTTCGAGATTTGTACAAATGGAGAAGAAAAAGAGTAAAGGTTTCCTCTCATCTTATGTGATTACTATTTGTGCAAATTTGCACAAATAGTAATCACATAAGATGAGAGGAAACCAGTAATCTGCTATTATGCTATCACCCAAACCTAGTACCACTTGATTTTTTAATTATACTATCTCTAAATATTACTCTTAACTGATTTATATTACTATTCACATGAAAGAATGACCAGAATGAAGAGAGATTTTGGCAGGGAAAATCCAATAAGTATTTTTTTGAGTGAAAGCCTGTGGCTTGTTTTCATGGAAGGTATCATGTGCCAAGTCAAAAGAAAAGGAACACCCATCCAGATAGAGTTGGGTTAAATCAGCAGAAAGTTTGGACTAGGGCTAAAGGGAGGAAGGAGCGAAGGAAGGGAGGAGTTGTAGGGAGATATATTTTCATGTTTCACAACATGTGTACGTACTTCAACCCAGACAAAGACAAGCTGGTTGATGGTGGCAGAAGGAAGGAGGAGGGTAAAAAGGAGGATTAGAATTCCATCTTATAATCAGCTTGTGTGTGGTGTTGACTATGCCTCTGCCTCACAAGTATCTCATAAAGTAGGATAATCACATGATTTATGACATAGAAAAAATAGAGATTTTTTTATATAATTTTATTTTAATCCATGGGGAAGTGGAACAGAATTCTTCCTCCGCAAGTCACGCGTGTCATAAGAGGCAACTAAAATGCTGGGAGTAAGGGGCTAGTAATCCCTTCTCCTGTATATATTGCTAAATTTAATAAGAGAAACTTTCATTTTTCCTTTTGGGCCACCCTACCCAAAAGCTGTCAAAGTCTTATTTGACAGCTTTTGTAGAAAATGACTGTTACTTATTCAGCAGTGTGTGTTCATATTAATCAATATGCTGAGAAATGTGGGCTGTACTTTTTACACATGCCTTTGTTGACAAAAGAGAGTACTGTATTATTTTTCTCTAAAATTTTCCATTTTTCACAAATCTTGGTCTCTAGATTGACAGCTTGATCATCTTAGTATTTTCTACATTATAGCACTTTGATAGTTTAGATTATGTACTAACATTCCATTGTTAGAGTGAAAATTATGAGTACAGTGTATTAGAAGCATTTTGAAAGTGCCACTCTTGCTTGTAGAAAAATAATATTCTGTCAATACAGTATATATTGCACTGATAGAAAGATTTTAAGAATAGTATTTTTAATGTTGAAACTTGATTCATACAGTAAAGTGGTACAGTCCTCTATAACCACTGAACATTAGTTGGATGTATGCACCAGGAAATAAAAGAGGGGTGGGATGATACTAAATTTTTGTCCCGATACTATTACTCAATTTTAGGATGATACTGACACTGATATCAAAATTAGCCGATACCCACCAATACTGGTACCAGTACCATCAAAACTGGCTGATGCACACAGATACTGATAGTCAGTCTTAGACTGATACCAGTACCATCAAAACTGGTTGATGTACACAGATACTGCTAGTCAGTCTTAGACTGATACCAGTACCATCAAAATGAGCCAGTCCCCACTGATACCAGCACTTTGGCACACCTCTAAATTAAAGTTCTTTAGTACTGCAGAAACAGTTGTTAAATTTGACATTCTTTATGCAATTTAAAATCTGTATGTAGTGGCACATATTTCATGATGTAAAATATATTGCTTGTTTTTCTTCTAAAAACAGCACCAAGTGGGAGAGCAGGGTTGTGTTATTCTACGTGATCATCCTAGGTTTGTTTGCCATGGTGATCTCACTGGAAGAATAGTCCTTCATGATCCTCGAACAATGCGTCAGGAACATTCTTTCCAAGCCCACACTGGCAGCCTTTCGGACTTTGATGTACTGGGAAATTATATTGCTACATGTGGATTGTCCAACAGGTATGCTGATATCACATAAATATATATAGAGTATTGTATTTTATATATGCCATGCCTTTTAAACAGAACTCACTGATTTAGCATATTCAGCAATGATTTTATTGCCTAATGTGTTGAGCATACATTAACAAACTCACTCTCAACATAGACAAAACATACTTCATGCTGTTTGGAAACAGACCCTTAAATATCCGACTTAATATATCGATAAATGGTTCCCCTATTACAAGACACACTGAGGGTAAATTTTTAGGTCTTCTTCTTGACTGTAATCTTAAATTTCATTCCCACATCCAGCATATATCCAAGAAAATTTCCAAATCAGTGGGCATCCTTTCCAAGATACGACACTATGTACCCCAAACTGCACTCCTTACCCTATACCACTCTTTAATATATCCCTATGTCACCTATGATATTTGTGCCTAGGGATCAACTACAGCCAACCACCTTAAACCTTAAATAACCCAACAAAAAGCTGCTGTGCAGATGATTACCAGCTCCTGTGCTAGACAGCACACCCCACCACTTTTCAAAAGCCTGAACTTACTAAATATATGAGACATACACTCATATTATTGTGCCTACTACATATACAAAACATTGAACTCCAATATAAACCCTCCACTTAAACTTCTTGATAGCAACAATAAAATGCACAGCCACAATACAAGGTATAAGGCACTCTTTGACATCCCTCGTGTCAGTCTCTCACTATACAGAAATGCAATGCACCTAAAGGGTTCGAAGATCAAGAATTCACTACCTGAACTGGTAAAGGATCCCCTGACTACTTATAAATTTAGGACTTTGCTTAAAAATCATCTCATCTCTCAATACTAACCAACCAACCAAAACAACTTATAATCAGTCTGAAGCAACTCTCCCAAATATTATATTATATGACTTCTAGTCTATTAAACATCTGCCTGTCTATAAAATATTACTGTTTGAACCATTATTTGTAACATTGTTTTTATTATGTGCAACTTCAAGATTATTATTGCTATAAACCTCAATTTTGACTACCTCACATTAGTATTAAGATTAAATAAAGATTTTAATGGAAGTTAACCACTCTTATCTTGTCTAGATTTAAGTAGTTATTATGTACACTGTACTAGGATTAGTCTGCCTGAAATTCCCCAGCATGATAGTGGCTTTCTTTGTACTTAGCAAACCAAAATTGTATTTACACATTGTAACCTTTACAAAGAAATAAAATCTTTATCTTTAATTATTTCTGGAGCTGCAAAAATCCATTTTAGTATCGCACAACTAATATACCGAAGCTCATTCTTGTTAATTAACTTGAGGCTGACTTTAGATAGGCTGGATAAAATTAAACTACGTTATATATATTTTTTTTTAAACACACCAGCGTATCCTACCGAGACAGGGTGACCTAAAAATGAAAAATGAAAGTTTTTCATCTTTTATTTAATAATTTTTACAGGAGAAGGGGTTACTAGCCCCTTGCTCCCGACATTTTTGTCGCCTCTTACGACATGCATGGCTTACAGAGGAAGAATTCTGTTCCACTTCCCCATGGAGATCTTCTTCTTTCAACAAACCGGCCATATCCCACCAAGGCAGGATGGCCCAAAAAGAAAAACAAAAGTTTCTCTTTTTAAATTTAGTAATTTATACAGGAGAAAGGGTTACTAGCCCCTTGCTCCCGGCATTTTAGTCGCCTCTTATAACACGAATGGCTTACGGAGGAAGAATTCTGTTCCATTTCCCCATGGAGATAAGGGGAAATAAATAAGAACAAGAACTAGAAAGAAAATAGCAGAAAACCCAGAGGGGTGTTTGTATATATGCTTGTACTACATGTATGTGTAGTGTGACCTAAGTGTAAGTAGAAGTAGCAAGACGTACCTGAAATCTTGCATGTTTATGAGACAGAAAAAAGGACACCAGCAATCCTACTATCATGTAAAACAATTACAGGCTTTCGTTTTACACTCACTTGGCAGGACGGTAGTACCTCCCTGGGCGGTTGCTGTTTACCAACCTACTACCTAAGGAAGAGTAAATATATTGAAATATTGTAGTGTCTCAACTTACAGAATAAGTTGGGTTCTTGTGGGAAAGACTGCAAATGTGTCATGCTGATGGAAAATGATGAACTGTATTGGATTTAAATGGAATACAGTGAAAATATAAGAGTATGGTTTCATTTTTGCAATTTTGTACAGTACAATTTTAACCCTTAAACGGCCCAAACGTATATATACGTTTTTTCAACATTTGAAAGTAGTATGTAAAAAAATGTACATCATCATTTTTTTTTTACGTTTGAAAATGTGTAAAAAAACTTTTATCTACTTTTTTTTTGTTATATTTGAAAATATGTAAAAAAAAAACATAGATCTACTTTTGGAGCACTATGGATTTGAACGTCGATCTATTTGGACCATTTAAGGGTTAAATAAGAAACACCTGGTTGTGGAGTGCTATTGCTTTCTATGTGCATGCTCCTCGTGTCGCAGACTAACTTTCTTGTTTTGTTGTATGTGATTACAATTTTTGTATATGTTGAGTTTTTAAAAGCTACTTTATTACAGAATGGGTCAATTACTGGGAGATCAATTTGTTATGGTGTTTGACCTGCGGATGATGAAGTTATCTCTACCCTTGCGTGCTTTGGTACCTCCTTTCCTGTTGAGGTTTGTACCAGGCCTGTCGTCATGTCTAGCTGTTGTCTCTCAGTGGGACAATGGCAGCTGATGGATGCGGGACAACCAGACAATGCAATCATGAGCCTAAGTTATCAGGTTCGTTATTCTGAAAGTACAGTGGACCCCTGCTTAACGATCGCCTCCCAATGCGACCAATTATGTAAGTGTATTTATGTAAGTGCGTTTGTACGTGTATGTTTGGGGGTCTGAAATGGACTAACCTACTTCACAATATTCCTTATGGGAACAAATTCGGTCAGTACTGGCACCTGAACATACTTCTGAAATGAAAAAATATAGTTAACCGGGGGTCCACTGTATAGTGTACAGTATTATTTTAAATGTTTTCTGTATGTTATTGTATATTGTAGACTTCTTATGTTCAATTTTGTGAAGGGTTCTAGTAGACAAGGATATGCTTAATAATAATGAAAAAATTTAGTTACAGGTTTTATGTATATTATGCATGTGTAAAGGATATTTTGTTTACAAAAATGGGCAGTTAATAATTGATGATCTAATTTTTGTACTTTTGCATTTAATGTTCTAATAATGAAACAGGGTGACATTCCACATCTTTACTAGGTGAAACTACAGTACTCCCCATTTTTTAGTTTCCAATCATAGGCATTCTTTGAAGATCAATAAGTAATAGCATTTAGAAAAGTTGCAGCAAGATTCTATGAATTCTGTTGAGGGGTGTTAATGTTGTAGTTTTATAACTATAGTGTAAGCACACCTCTGTCAAGACAGTGATGGAGTGAATGATGAAAGTTTTTTCTTTTTTGGGCCACCCTGCTTTGGTGGGAGACAGCCAATGTGTTAATTAAAAAAAAATTTAAACAATGATTGCACTTCAATGAAGATGTAGAGAGAATGCAAAGAAAGAATATGCTTTAAAAGTTTTGTTCATAGTTAATTTCCACTTTTGATGATTAGAAAATCTATGCAACAGACAGCATTTGCATTTGGCACTACCAAACTATCTTTATACTTTTCTTATGTTTCCAGATCAACTGTGTTCCTGAAAGTGTAATTACAACATTTGATGTTGCATCTTCATCACAAGCCATTGTATTTGGAGACAGTTTAGGGTCACTGCATCTCTTCACATCAGGCAGCAAGCCTACATTCAATAATTTCTCTCAAGTATGTTGAAAACAAATTTATTATCATCTAAAAATAATGTCGAGATTCTTTTTTAGTGTAATCAGGTTTACTAGACTGTCTTGCTGTGACTTATTTATAACCTTTTTTCTTTTACTGAATATTAACAATTTAATAAAGATGCTTGTTATATACACCATAATAAGATTGGGAATCATATTATCTTTTCTGAAAATAGTAGTGCACTAGCTGTAAATTTAATCTTTTGATTTAGTATGGAATTTAATAGATTCCCATGAATTTAAATACTTAGGCATTCATCGTATTATATTTAATTGTATATTGTAATACTAATGTTAATAATATTTTGTTAGGAAACCATGATGCCAGACTTACCTGAACAAACACAGACAATGCCTCTGACTGATAAAACAGCTTCTTTAGCATCCATACCTATGTATTATCCAACAAGTGCATTGCTATCGGAATGGCCAGAGCAGTATATGAAAGTTGGTTACAGGTACTGTTTCATTATTTATCATTAACAAAGTATTTGCATGTAATTTACTTACCTTAGTCATTTAAATAAATTGACTTAACCCATAACTTGAAAAATAACTACAAATGTGATTTTGCACTCATATAGAGGATGAAACTAACATTTTTCGATTTCCAGTATTTGCAGTTGCTGAAATAGGTGCCCTGTCTTTTGTAATTCATTCATCCTTCATTCTTTTGAGCATGATCCAGTCATATACCATTTGTATGAAGAAGTTTGTAGAGTACTTCCAGTTATCTTAGTATGAAAAATGTTGGGGTCTCATGTTCTCTCTATTGATGGTTTATTTATTTATTTTTTTTTTTTTTTGCTAATTTTATAATTTGTTAGGTAGTTACCATAGAGTTACCTATTTGTGACTAATGTACCTATTTATAATTGTAGAATCAAAGCTGTGAATCTCGTGACTCATTTTCAGTGTTTAGTTTATCTTATAATTTTTTGAACTGTATTGTATGACCATTGTAGGTTTAGCACTTTTTTTATTATATTATATTATAGGTAGGAGATGGCAGACTTGTTGAAAAAAAAAAAAAAATTTGAAGTTTCTCTAGTGATTGTAGCATTTTCCACTGTTCCTCCTCTTGAATCTTATTCCAGCAGTCCACCAGTCTACTTGGGAAGAGGTGCTGTTCTATACTTTCTGCTATGTTTTTGACAGCTCTCTTCTTGGTTTAACGTTGCCATTATGTTCATTCTTCACTAGCAAATAGTGAGGGAATTTTCAGTTTTCAGTCTTTCATTTGGTTTGACATATAGTAAAAGTCAACAAAAATTTTAATATGTATTGTGCCTAATACCTTCATGAGGGCAACCATGGATGCAGGTTTTAGGGAGGTAGATGCAAGGTGATCACATCATGTGACCTGACCTCAGTATATATGCAGAAATGGCTGGTGACAGAATTTCAATTGATGCTTCTAGTGTCATCACTACTAAGAGGTGTGTACTTTTATGGTATTCCACCTTCACCTCACAACTCAGCTATTCCTTAGCACTTTCTCACTCATTATTCTGCTCATTATCCAGTGTTTGTAAATCCCTCTTTCTCTTTGCTTACACATGGAAAGCTTGGCATTACTCAGTTTTGAATTTTGTGATTATAATATCATTTGCACACATATCTTGCTAATCAGTGGACCAACTGTATATATTAATTATTGTCTAAGGTTATTTGAAGATGAGAAAGAAGTAAAACTATGAGATAATTTTATGTGGAACTTTTAAAACTTTTTTGTTAATACAGCAGTTTACAATCAAATTATATAGATTTTAAAGTTAGATTACTTTTAATAAAAATTGAAGAAAAATATTGTACTATATATCTTCAAGGTTTTAATGCTTTAAAAATATTTTAAAAAATTATTAAAGTGTGTAGTATGACAGGAGAAGGCAAGGAAAAATAGGCACTTGGATATAATGAGTTTAAAAAATAACAAGTATGCTAGAGAAGTTAATACTGTATGAAGAATATATGAAAAAAGAGGTTATGTAGAGGTAGGTTTTTCTCGAATGTGTCTGCTTAGTAGTGGAAATATAGAAAAGAGAAGTTTTTTTTATTATTTGAATTTTTATCAAGTCTAAAATCTAGTAATATTTTTTCTACTTGCTAAATTTGCTACATTTGTGTTACTGTATTATAAATAAGGAAAAGTCATTTAAATAATGTTTTAATCAAACTATAATATTACAGGTATTGCTTTATTTTGTGAAACTAGAACTGACTACTCATTTCTTCTCCACAGACCAACACCCCCAGTTGATGCAGCAATTCTTTCAAGTATGAAAATTGTCGGTTCTATTGGTTATGCCCCAAACTTGCATAACAAGAAAAGAAATCAGGTGAAGTTTGAAATAATTTTCAAAAATAACACTAGCCACCAATAGCTTCAATTCACATTTAAAAGTGTGAACTGGTAAATTAATACAGTAGGACCCTGTATCTGTGGAGGATACATTCCAAGGACCTGCCACAGATACCAAAACTGTGGATAGTAACAAACCCTATACTATATAAGTCCTATACATACCTGTTATAAAGTTTATTTGATAAATTATGCACAATAAGTGGAGAATTATCACTTTTTCACTGATGGGAAGCACTTCACTGCTTCTCTTAAACTTTGAAGAATTGCCAGCTTTTTTACTTTTGTGCTTTGGGGCCATTATTATGCAAAATTAAGAGGTATTTTGGGGATACAGTAAACTGTGGATAATTGAAACCATGGATGCTGAATCAGTGGAAACGGTGGTTCTACTGTGATTTTATTTTATTCCTGCAGTGATAGGCTGCCCCTCATTACTGGTGCCACTTGTAAACTTTTCCTAACTTCTCTGAATATTGATGAACCTAATCTTGTAATGTTATTTAAATATTTTCCAATATTTTCACTGATGTTTGTGTACCATCATGTTAAATTATTATTGTTTATTTATTCATTTACTTAGAGTAATTTTAAAACCATTGAGTTATTACAGCTAGCTTAGTGGTATCTGAGTGTTTTGCTTGCATAGTATGTCAGAGGTGACTGAATACTTTTAATGTATTGTCAGTTAATTACTCTTACTTCTAATATTAATATGTAATAATATTAATATATAACTTCATTTTTATAGGTTCCATATAAGTTTAATCGTACAAAAGGACAGAAATCCAGTGCAAGTGAAAATGTGTTGGGAAAAAATGATGAAGGTATCACAGTTCATGTTCCATGGAGGTACCGAAAATTAGAGATTAAGTACGGCAAGCTTGGCATGGATGACTTCGATTACGATCAATACAACCGAACCAGTTTTTCTGGTCTGGACATGTCTCTTCCTAATTCCTACTGTAATCCAATGATACAGGTAGTGTATGCATTATTTACATATCCCTTATAAGGCATTATTTCAGTTCGTCTGGGGGTGCCATAAGTTAGGTTGCCCTGATTTTATATGTACTGTAAATCACTATATTATATCAGTATTGTAAGTTTGATTTTGTGGATAAATTTTATACTTTTTTGCCTTGTATTTATAGTGGTAGTCTCTAGTCATCTGGCCCTCTGTTTTACCTTTAATGGACCAGAATTATTGGCTCCTTTACTTCTGGGCCTTATCATACTCCTGAAATTGTATATGGAGTGCCTCTTTTTTCATCCAGTTCATTCCACTTTACTTACCACCCTGTGTTAACCTTCATCCATGCCCTTGGTGTATCAAGCATATGTGATACTCATCTGCCATACAGTGACTTTTGGGCCATATATGACTGGAAGACTGGGTGGGTCATACAATTAGTTTGGTAGGACATGGGTGTTAGGCTGCCTTTTTTTTAATGAGGATCATTATTTAGAAATAATTCACTACCGATTGAGAACTAGACGTTATCATGTCGCCAGTGGTTACCTTCCAAGGGATCCTGCCTCCCCACTCTGTGATTTGTGACTTATTACTGCAAAACACTGACCTAAACATAGAGTAAAATGAACTAATATTGGCAGTTGGGCAGGTAAAGATGGTAGAAAAGCATTTCTTGAGGATAGATAGTTAGGTATCATATAGTATATAAAATTACAAATATGGTTGCTATGTAGGCAAGCTCATATTTACTCTTAATTATGATAAAGTGCAGTAGTCATTTTAGTGAAACTTTTCCTCCAATCGTAAGAATTATTTTGATAACTAAGGTGTCATTTTATTTTACTAAAAGTTTAATTTTACCATTTTGCACTAGAATATATCAAAATTTCATAAATTGAAAACAGCAGTATAAACTGAAACTGTATCCATGTTTTATATGAGATCTTTCTTTTCAGATGTTTTATTACATTGCACCCCTTCGTGCTTTGATGATGTCTCACTTGTGTGAGCGAGAGTTTTGTTTAGTGTGTGAGCTGGGCTTCCTGTTCCACATGCTTGATGTCAGTATGGGACAGGGAATACCTTGTCATGCTTCAAACTTTTTGAGAGCATTTAGAACAATTCCTGAAGCTTCAGCAATGAGTCTTACGCTGTCAGATCAAGACAATAGAGCAAAGATAAATTTTGCTTCAAAAATCCAGGTAAGAATGACTAACTTTTTACTTGATAGCATTCATGTAGATGTTTCAGTCTCTTAAAAACAAGATTATTTTCTTTATCTGCTTTCTAGTTACAACTATAATTAGATAATTTTTTTTGCCATAATTGACAAAAAACTTTTGTCTTGAATTAATAGATGGTGCTACCATGCTACTGACCTTCTTATAATTATTCTTATAATATTACAGTGCCCACACCTCTTTCAGAGTGTGGACACTGTAATATAATAATGTAATATAATATACTGTAATATAATACACAGTGCCCACCTCTTTCAGAGTGTGGGCACTGTACTTCCCAGGACTCGAGTCTTTTTTAACTGGTTTTCCCTGAATCTTTCAAAAATATGTTACTATTACTGTCCTCATAGGCCAGCAACATGTCAAACCATAAAAACTACTTGTTTCTGCTCTGCTCCAGGACTCAAATTAGCCTGTTGGATTCTTAAACCTTTAGTACTCAAAAATCTTTTTGATCCCTCCATCCCTTCCTGGGATGACCTCCCTATCCCTCCTTCCTTCCACCTTAAATTTATATACCCTCTTGGTCATCCTATTTTGCCTCATTCTCTCTAAATGCCCAAGCCACCTCAGTAACTCTAAATTATACTTTCACCACACCATCTTCTATTCTTTAATCTCTGAATTCTCAAAGTAATATAAACATCACATCTTATGCTTGAATATAACATCTCTACTGTCTCCAACCTCTTCCTCACTGAAATGTTTAAACCTCATGTCTCACACCCATATAAAAGTGTTGCTGCGACTATTCTCTTGTATGTGACCCCTTTGCATCCATTGATAGTTCTTTCTTTGTTTCTACAAATGCCTCAACACACCACCACCTACTTTTTTCTCCTTGTCTGTTCTGTTGTTCACCACATCTTTCATAGACCCATCTGCTGACAAGTTCACTCCCAAATATCTGAACACATCCACTTCCTCCATACTCCATACCTCTAATCTGATATTCAGTTTTTCTGTGCCTAGGTTTTTTTTTGTTGTTGCTGTTCTCATCACCTTTGCTACTCCCCTTCAGAATCTCCTAAAAGAAATATGTCATCAGCAGAAAGCAACTCTCAGAGCTTCCTCTTTGTATCAGATCCATTATCCTTTAATTTCACACCTCTCCCAACATCCCAGCATTCACTTCTTTTACAACTCTATCTAGAAATATTTTAAATATATATTTCTTTCTTTCAACACACTGGCTGTATCCCACCGAGGCGGGGTGGCCCAAAAGGAAAAACGAAAGTTTCTCCTTTTACATTTAGTAATATATACAGAAAAGGATTACTAGCCCCTTGCTCCCTTTAAATATATATATTGTCAAAATTTGTTTATTACATAAAAATATGAGCATGCTATTTCATATAACTAAGATTTATTCTTATATGTCTGGAGGAGTTTCAAAAGGTTATTACATGTGAGGAATAATATTTTGGTAAAAATACAAAGGCATAATTCCGTGACTGGAGCAATGCACAAATACCCGCACATAGGAATATGAAACTCATGACAACATTTTGATCCAACTTAGTTCACCTCGGGTATATGTGTAATATTTTGGTATGTACTAAGTTTAATTTGTTAATTATTAAACATAAAGTACTTTTTTTTTTAAGTTTAAAACATAATATGGTTGCATTTCTTGTTGTTTTCTCTGAAGAGTTGGAACAGGTTTGTGCTACAACAGTTGCATACAGAAACACTAGAAGACAGAGCTAATCACTCCCATGTTGACTCCTTGGATGAGAGAATGTTTCAGAATAGCTGCCAGATTGATACAAGTCTGGAAGAACCAGAAATTACTAGTAAGTATATAGTGTGTGTTAAAGGCTTATTGGTGCACAGAGTGCAGATTTGTTCATACATTACCTTAACTTTTTAGTTGTTAATTATTTATTGTTTTTGTGCAAGTGCTGTGTATGTAAGTCCTTTCAAAAATCAAGATCCTGATTTTTTCTGTTGCAATTGTGCATCTTAATTTTGGAAATTAATAGCTCTCTCATATAATAATATAAAATATCTTTTATAAGAGAATAAACTGTTTACAGAATACTGTCATTTAGATATATGGTACTTATTCTACATGGAAATACTTTGCCTAATTCTGTAATTGTTTTTTCAGAGGCCGAAGAAGGGCATATAGTTGAAAGGCAAGACAAAAGGGAATATTCACCAGTAGCAGTTATTTTTGGTTCACATGTAGTCAGCATCAACAAGTGTACCAGGTGTAACCATGAAATTCACAAAGACACAACTTCCCTTCTTGTTAACCTTACTTTTCCCGAGTCTTTAGAGGGTTAGTATTCAGGATTTTTTTTTTTTCTTAAATTACAGTTACAGTGGAACCCTGGTTTTCGTGATTAATCCATTTGAAAAAGTCTGATGAAAGCCGAATCGTACGAAAACTGAAGCAATGTTTCCCATAAGAAATAATGTAAATCCAGTTAATCCATTCCAGACACCCAAAAATATTAACAAAAAATACATTTTATAGAGAATAACTATAGTTTTACATACAGAAAACAATGAGACGTAGGGTCGTCAGGGTCAGCCTCAAACCCTTACATACAGAAAACAACAGGCGTAGAGTCATCAGTGTCAGCCTCAAACCCTTCAAAATCCTTCTCGAGGACACATTCTGACCACAATTTTCTCCAAGCAGAGTTCATTGTCCTGGAAGTCACTCCCTGCCAAGCCTTATCAATAAGGCTTATGCAATTGAGGATATTGAAGTGATTTCTCCAGAACTCTCTTAGGGTCAGTTCAAAGCACCTTTGAAACAGTGCTTTGGTGTAGAGTTATTTGAAATTTGAAATGACCTGCTGGTCCATAGGCTGGATGAGAGGAGTGGTATTATGGGGCAAGAACTTCACTGTGATGAAACTAAACTCTTCCAACAATTGGTCTTCCAAGCCAGGAAGATGAGTAGGAGCATTGTCCATTACCAGGAGGCACTTGAGTGGCAATTGATTTTCCAGGAGGTATTTCTTCACACTCAGGCCGAACACATTTACCTCTTTCGCAACATCAGCTTCCTTGATTTCTTTTTTCTCCGCCAGCATGGAAGTGATCGTTGATGCGGACTTCCCATACAACCTGGCAAGCTCGGCCATGCGTACGCCATTTTCATACTTTGGTATAAGTTCTTTCTTGAATTCTATCATGTTTTTTGCCTTCTTTATCAAAGGGCTGGCACTCGGAACTTTCTTTGGCCTCATAGTGGCTTATTTAACAGTTGCACTCAATAAACAAGTACAAAAAAAATGGATTATTACTAAATGTTTCTGATGAATGTGTGGGGTGATGCTCACTCAACGAGAAACAAAGGCAGACTGAGTCACGAACGCATGAGATGCTTTGTGTGGGCGCTTGATTCTGGGAAATGAGTGACTGAGTCACACGGAGCAGGCGGATGAGTTTAGTATGAACCATTTTCAACTGTATGAAAACCGAGCAGACGTACAAAAACTGGGACAAAATTTTGACGAAAAAAATTGTTGAAAACCAAATTGTACGAAAACTAGGCATACGAAAACCAAGGTTCCACTATACTTTTAACTGAATCATTTAGCAAGGGCCCATTACTAGAGATTTTTTATTTTACATTGCAGAAAACATATTTCATCTCAGATTTTACTGGTTTTAAAATATGCCTGTTGTCTTTTCTCTCTCTTCTTTTGTGCTGTGTAAAAAAATTGTTATATTGTTGATTGCACTCACCATTATAGATGTTGATCTTAAAGTACAGTATTTGTAGTCTACTAACAAAAGATGTATTAAATTATGATCAAAGCTTGCTATACGGTGAGTGGTCTTTCTAATACAGAGCACCCCACCCAGTTTGTTTACATTTTTTTGTGAGCACATCTCTCTGTTATGCCTGGAAATTTTCCAAAATCTCAAAGTGTTTTAAAGTTATTGCATATTTTATATGTACTCTGATAATTATACTTATGTGTACCTGTACCTAAATATACTTACACACTGTGCTGGCATGCAGGTACACATTAAAATCACTAAGAGTTTCTCTACTTGATGCCCTATAATAATCTCTTGGGGCTCATTAACCCTTTCAGGGGTTTCGGCTGTACTAGTACGGCTTACGCCCCAGGGTTTTTGACGTACTAGTACGCCTAAATTCTAGCGCCCTCAAATCTAGTGAGAGAAAGCTGGTAGGCCTACATATGAAAGAATGGGTCTTTGTGGTCAGTGTGTGCAGTATAAAATAAATCCTACAACACACCGTGCATAATGAGAGAAAAAAAAACTTTGACCGTGTTTTTGGATTAAAACCGACTTTGCACTGTGTTTTCGTATGGTATTTATTGCTGTATTCATTTCCCTGGTCTCATTTTATAGAATGAAAGACATATTACAGAAATTGAGATGATTTTGACTGGTTTTACAATGAAAAGTACCTTGAAATTGAGCTCAAAGTAGCAGAAATGTTCAATTTTTACCAAAGTTCAAAAGTAAACAAATCATGCCAAGCGTCCAATACACATCAACTGGTGAGTCTAATATTCTTTCACAAGTGCGCTGATATTATTTATACCATTTCTACACTAATGCAGTAGTCTGCATAACAGTAAATCTTCTATTTTTTGTAAGAATAAAAATTCAAAGTGGAAAGCCAAAGATATGTAAGAGGGGCCTGGGGATGTGACTAACGAACAGAGAACTTGTTATTTTAGTGCCAGGAATGTCTTTCTTGTTTATTCTGGACCCTGTTCGGAAATTAGCATCTTTTGAAATTTGTGTGAAATTGGCAAAATTGCTAAATTCTGCCCACTTTATTGGATAGTTGAAATCGGTAAATGGGTGGTTTCTTGTACCCATCCGATAGAAAAAATGGAGTTCTAGTGAAATAGTTAGGATTTTTGTCGATTAGTACACTGGAATTGGCCAAAAATAGGGCTCAAAGTGGGCAAAATCGCCAATGAGTAAACATAGTCGAGACCGCTAACTTCACGAGAGCATAATTCTGTAAGTTTTCCATCAAATTTTATGCTTTTGGTGTCATTATGACTGGGTAAAGATTCTCTATCATTTCATAAGAATTTTTTTTTTTTTTTTTAAATTTTGGGACCCTGAGAACAAGTCTTGGAGAGGGCCTGGGGACCATGAAAGGGTTAAATGTCGTATATTACGTTAATATAGACATTTCCTTTAATCCATCTATGGTATTTTTTTCAAAATTATGTAATAAACATGCTACATAACATATAAACATGATACATGCACCCACAGTATAAAAATTGACATGAATATGAGATTTGTTTACCAAGCGGTTTGTAGGAGTGTCGGAAGAATTACATTTCTATAGTCAAACACCAGTTACTTAACTGTAGAAAAATATTCCTTTCGTATGCCTTCACTCTATCTATAGCTATTCATGACCCTTGTGGGTTTAGAGCTTCTTTTTTATTATTATTATAATAATAATAGGTAATATATAGGTAGTAGGTTGGTAGACAGCAACCACCCAGGGAAGTACTACCGTCCTGCCAGATGATTGTGAAACAGAAACCTGTAACTGTTTTGCATGATGGTAGGATTGCTGGTTTTCTTTTTCTGTCTCATAAACACGCTAGATAACAGGGATATCTTGCTACTCCTACTTACACTTTGGTCACACTTCACAGACACGCACATGCATATATATATACATACATCTAGGTTTTTCTCCTTTTTCTAAATAGCTCTTGTTCTTCTTTATTTCTTCTATTGACCATGGGGAAGTGGAAAAGAATCTTTCCTCCGTAAGCCATGCATGTCGTATGAGGCGACTAAAATGCCGGGAGCAATGAGCTAGTAACCCCTTCTCCTGTAGACATTTACTAAAAAAGAGAAGAAGAAAAACTTTATAAAGTGAAAGTTTTTCTCTTTCGGGCCACCCTGCCTTGGTGGGAATCGGCCAGTGTGATAATAAAAAAAAAAAAAAAAAAAATAATAATATATCATCATTCACTAAAAATGGTGTATTGCATGAGAATGGGAGTGTTGCTGTTTATTTATTCTGTACTAGCTTGTCGGAGCATCATTCCTTCTAAAAATGTTACATGAGAATGGAAGTGTTTTTTTTTATTCTACTGTACCACTGTGGAGACAACTTGTACACAATGTAAAGTGTTTGTATGAACATATATGAACCATAACCAGACGTTTCGTTCGTCTGTTTACATAGTACTCTGCGTGGGTGGGGTGGCCAGCTGGTCTACCCTACCTCCCACACCTGACTTTCTACAAATAAATACTTTTCACCTCTCACCCTACATTAAGACCATTAAGACTACAAATATTTTAAGGTAAGTAATGAGTGTACTATATATGCATTTTATCACTCTAGGGTGCTTTGAGCATCATAGTATATTATGTGTGGGTGGGGTGGCCACACCTGACTTCTTACAATAAATACTACTCACCTTTTGCCCTACATTAAAACTACAAATATTTTGAGGTAAATCATGAGTGTACTGTATGTGTATTTTACTTTTTATTATTTTTTAATGCCTAGTTCTATTGCTAACTTAATGTTAGTGTAAACTTGTTATCTGGCATTTATGTGCATTTATAAGTGGAAAAATGGCGTTCTGCATTCTGGCAATGTCTGCTTTGTGGTGGTAGCCTGGAACCTAACCTGCTGTATAAGTGGGACCCTGCTGTATTGTATTGTTAGTCCCCTTCCCTAACTCTCCTTTCCATACCTCCCCAATAATTATTTTCTCTATCAAGCAGGCCGCTGTTCATTTTCATCAGTGGTTGAACGCAGTATGAGTCTTGAGCAGACAAGACAAGCCTGGTGTGATTCTTGTACTAGGTATCAACCAATTGAGCAGTGGCGGCGCTATAAGACACTACCAGATATTTTGGCTATGAACTGTGGCCTTGACAGTGCTCAAGTAGGTGTTGTCCTTAATTCTTGTACATTTTAATTAAGAACTAGTTTTTTGTGCATTGTGCATTTTTTTATGTAATATACTTATTTTTTACTGAGAATAGAATGGCTTAGTTTCTATTATGAAACCCCTCTGTTTACCTATTAACCATACTACTGTTTGTTTATTCATGTACACTATCATTTTTTTTCAACACATCAGCTGTCTCTCACTGAGGCAGGATGACCAAAATAAGAAAGAAACACTTTCACCATCATTCAACACTTTTACCATCATTCATACATAATCACTGTCTTTGCAGAGGTTCCCAGATACAACAGCTCAGATGTGACTCCAAACAGTCAATATCTCAAACTCCTTGGAAAGTGCAGGCATTGTACTTCCCACCTCCAGGACTCATGTTTGGTTAACCAGTTTCCCTGAATCCCTTTACATTCACAAAATATTACCCTGCTCACACTCGAACAGCTCTGTCAAGTCCCAAAAACTATTTGTCTCCATTCACTCCTATCTAATGTGCTCACACATGCCTGCTGAATGTCCAAGCCCCTTGCACACAAAACCTCTTTCACCCCCTTCCTCTATCTTTTTCTAGGATGACCCCTACCCCTCCTCCCCTCCACTACAGATTTGTACACCTTCGAAGTCATCCTATTTTGCTTCATCTCTAAATGACCAAACCACCTCAACAAACCCTTCATCAGCCCTCCAAATAATACTTGTAGTAACTCGACACCACCTAATTTCCACACTACGAATTCTCTGCAATAGTATCTACACCACACATTGCCCTTAGACACAACATATCCACTGCCTCCAGTCTCCTCCTTGCTGCAGCATTTACAACCCATGCTTCATGCCTGTATAAGAGTGTTGGTACCTCTGTTCTTTCATACATTCTTCTTTGCCTCCATGGATAACTTTCTTTGTTTCCACAGATACCTCAGTGCACCACCCACCCTTTTTCCTCCATTAGTTAAGTGGCTTATCTCATCCTTCATAAACCCATCTGCTGACAAGTCTACTCCCAAATACTTGAACACATTCACTTCTTCCATACTCCCTCCCTCCAATGTGATATCCAATTTTTCTTTATCTAAATCATTTGATACTATCTAAATCATTTGATACCCTCATCATCTTACTCTTATCTGTGTTCACTTTCAACTTTCTGCCTTTACACACCCTCCCAAACTCGTCCACTAACCTTTGCAACTTTTTTTTAGAATCTCCCAAAAGCACAGTATCACTTAATATACATTAGTGTAAAAATCTTTTTTACAGCAAAAAAAGGCTATGTTTAACTTCACAGCAATTTTTGCTTTACAGCGGTAGCCCGAACCTAACCTGCTGTATAAGCAGGATCTCCTGTATAATGCTTTATTGTTTTACTTATTCATGATTCTTCATTGTGGCCAGTTACATGCCACAGCCTGCATGAAAATGGATTTGACTTACTCTTCCTCACTTGACAGGATTTCAGGTTCTGGAAGCACCAGTTTGAACTTTTGTTGACAGATGTCCGGGATAAAAAAAGAGAGAAGAAAAGAAAAAATCTGAAGCTAAATATGGAAACAATGATAAAGAATTGAGTAAGGCAAATGAAAGAAATACTCCTTCCCTTACTACAGGTGAGAGACATGTACTATAACAAACATAAAACTTTATGCACAAAATTGCAGGTGAAATATTTGCATGGTGTATTCAAAGAGCATACTAAAACATCTTTCAAATTATGTTTAAATATTTCAAGCTTGTCATAGAATATTATATTACCCTGTGAAGCTAATAAACAATAACGTAGAATTTTTTATATACTGTATCTCAACATTATTATTAATTTTTGTAAGTTTGTATTTAAAAATTTAAATAGCAGGTAGTCCATCCACACCATCAAAGAGGTACCCAGACAGCTCTTCCTCACAGCCCTCTCCTGCTCGACCTTGTAGGTATGGTCAGGGTTGTACTCGTCATGACTGCAGATTTTGGCATCCTGGTCGTGACGCCGGAGAAGGTATGTGTAGATTTATTTTGGATCTGGATGGGGGATTATACTATTGGAAATAATAAAAAAGTTTACTTGACATTAAAAACATTTAAAACCCCTTTTTTATATGAGAATTGAAAATGCTGAGCATGAGATAACGTAGTTTTTCCCAATTTACTTTAGGCAAAGAATTTAGTTTTTTTATTCACAATTTGCCTCTCACCAATGCAGGGTGATCCATTCATTCATTCCTTCATTGGTTGTCTTCCCAGAAGCATGCAACAACCTCACCCTTCCTTTAAAATACTGGTTCTGTACATCCCACCTTCAGGACTGAGCCTGGCAAACCTCTTTCCTTGAATCCCTTCATAAATGTTACCTTACTCACTCTCCAACAGCATGTCAGGTTACAAAAACCACTTGTCTCCACTCCAGTCAAACATGCTCTCACAAGACTGTTGAATGTACAAGCCCCCTAACACTCAGAACTGTCCTTTACTCCCTTCCTCCCTCCAACCCTTCCTGGGATGACCCCTACCCTTTTTTACCTCCACCCCAAGATTCATATACCCTCCTGGTCATTTTATTATGCACCACTTTATTTTGTTAGGTTCTTAATGCAGGAGGGCCTTGATTATAATGCAAGTTAGATTTTAGATTGCTGTCTTTTTCTTTTAGATATTCCAATAAAGTGAGTATCTTCTGTGTCTGAATTAAATGTGTATTTCATTTATTATTTTTGATCTGTGAACTTAAAGTTTCTATATTTTCCAGTTTTTTCACTACACCCTCAAAATAATTTTGTAGCAGATTTACCTATCACTGATTGCTTAAGCTTCCACTTTAGCCTCTTGAAATTATGACAGCTTGGAAGATTTCCTAAAAAAAATTCTAATATTTTGCATCCCTGTAAAATATCCCATGTAAAATCCAATGTAATTTTTTTTTTGGTTCTGGGGACACCATGGCATTCATTGTTTGCCATTAGTTGTATAATACTCAGCTGAGATTAAAATAACATTTAACTGGAACAGAGCTTTTGAGGCAAAAACCAGTGAGACAAAAAAATTACCATTTGTTTTTAAACAAAAATCAATGACTAAGCACAAATTTAAACTAAATGTACCCAGTCACAAGACATATAAGTCCACAGGCTAAATATCCAGAATGGAGACTCCTTCGTATTTATTTGAAGTGACAGTGGTACAGTAAAAAATGTAAATCAAAGTTCAACAGGGGATGGAGCAGAGGGGTAGCGTATGATGTGTACGCTTATAATTAGTTTTTCTTTACTCATTTAATCTTATCTTATATTGTGCCTTAAAAATGAAGAGATTCTTTGAGCTATCACCAGTCACTCTTTCCCACATGATCTACAGTCATTCTGTTAATGATACCTTCTGCAGGCAAAACAGAAATGGAAGAAAGTTCTACAATCCACTTTTTACTTTGAGCAGGTCAGCAACCAGCACATGTACTTAGTCTCCTGGACCAAACAATGGAATATTCATGGGTGCCACCTGGTATGAGAGCTAAACTTAATGAGGATGGCACTGTATCACTCTCGGATATCACAAAAAGTGAGGTGAGAGAAAATTAAGCTGTTTTTGGTTAGTTATATGTTGTGATACTTTTTTTTTTTTAACAACCTGCCATCTCCCACCAAGGCAGGGTGACTCAAAAAAGAAGAAAACTATAAAGTTTTTCTTCTTTTTACATTTAGTAATTTATACAGAAGGGGTTACTAGCCCCCTTGATCCCTAAACAGTATTATATTTCACATTATCTAAGGTTAGCTGAGAAGCATGTCTTCTAAGCTTTTACAATTGTTAATATAAAGACATTTTCTTGTCCAGCTTGAAGATGCCAAAGACAATGAATGTGGTGTTGTCTATGAGCTTGTCGGTGTTGTATCCCACATAGCTGACCCACGCTTCCCTGATAAAAACAATTTGGTAGCCTGTATCAGGGTTGGTCCAGGCTATCATGTACGTGCCAAAGTGTCATCTGTTTCCCACTGGTATCTTTTTAATGATATAAGGTAATTCATATGCTTTATTAAAATATTTTACTATTTTGCTTGCCTTCAAATTTTAATTTAGATTTTGTTTTTATCTATAGTTCCTTGAGACAATCCACACAGAATTTTTGCTGATTTGCTTGATCACAATTTCTCTCCTCTTGCTTATCAATGTATTGTACTGTGATTCCTCCACACTAATCTAACATGCGATTTCTATGGACATTTCTCATTAATCCCACCTTCACATGTTGAGAAATAAAAGGTACATGTGCATCACTTGTGCATTTTTATTGATGAAAGATTTTCCCTGAACAACAGGCTTCTTCAGTCAAATACAGAATATAACCCTAGACAGAAGAAGGGGAGAGGTAATTTTGAAGTGATCAGTTGTCAGTATTGTATACCATTAATGTTTACCTTCACATACTCTTGCTTTACACATTTTTGTTAGGTATCAAGTTTTAAAGCTTATGAAGTTCCAGGGGTTAATGATGTTACAACCTTCCTTGTCTCTTCCTAGTATATTTCATTCATAATACAGTAAACTATGTGTATTCCAGTATTCTTTGTCATTCTCAAAACTTCTCTTTTTTTTTTACATATAAAAGTTTTTATTTTTCATTGTACTGTATTAACCCTTTCAGGGTCTGTCCGTAGATCTACGGCTTTGCGTTCAGGGTCCAAACCGTAGATCTACGCCAAAATTCTAGCACCGTCAAATTTAGCACGAGAAGGCTGGTAGGCCTACATCTAAGAGAATGGGTCTGGGTGGTCGGTGTGCACACCATAGAAAAAATCTGGACGCCCACATGGCATTGTGGGAACGCCGGCAAAGTAGCTTTGTTCATAGTGCCTGGCGGCAAGATGCTCTCACTCCCCACTCACTCTCCGGGGGAATTCTGACTCTCCTCTTCACAACTTCCAGTTCTAAGACTGATGGAAGTGGAGCTGAAGACAATTCATGGTTTTGGAAACCATATGGTACCATTGTGCCATATGGTTAACCAATGGTGTCCATGTCATACAATGGTATCATATGGTACAATTGGTATATGGTACAAATGGTATCCCCACCCCCGTCGCCCCCAACAATATGGTACAATGTATTGTATAGTACATTGTTAACATATAGTACATTGTACCATATAGTACATTGTACCATATAGTACTTGACATATAGTACATTGTACCATATGGTACAGGGTACAGGGACCCTAATGGAAATAAATGTCTGACTTTTTTAGGTTATCCTAGGTTCTTTCTCCAAACATATGCTGCTAAGTATGATATTTCTATGTAACTTTATTTTCGTGGTATAACAAAATAAACTTACTTATGAATGCCACATCACTTGAGCAAGTTTTGATTCAGGTGGTACAGAAATACAATTTAACATTAGATTATCATACATAGCAGCATATGTATAAAATCCTAGGATACCCCAAAAAAGTCAGGGTGACTTATATCTATAGTTATCCCTGTTTCTTGTACCATATGGTACCCTGTACCATAGTGTACCCTGCATCATATGGTGTACCCTGCCATCATATGGTACCCTGCACCATAAGTGGTACCCTGTAACCATATGTGTAACCTGTACCATATGTACCCTGCACCCATATGTTACCTGTAACTGCATGGTACCCTATACCATATAGTACAATGTACCATCTATGGTACCGCCCTGTAAAATATACAGTGTACCATATGGTCCATGTGGCCCGGTGGCCTGGTGGCTAAAGCTCCCGCTTCACACACGGAGGGCCCGGGTTTCGATTCCCGGCGGGTGAATGTAACAATCGACACGTTTCCTTACACATGTTGTCCTGTTCACCTAGCAGCAAATAGGTACCTGGGTGTAGTCGACTGGTGTGGGGTCGCATCCTGGGGGACAAGATTAAGGACCCAATGGAAATAAGTTAGACAGTCCCTCGATACGTACACTGACTTTCTTGTTATCCTGGGTGGCTAACCCTCCGGGTTAAAATCCGAACGAAATCTTATCTTATCTTATCTTAATAGGTGTAGAGAGGCAAATAGACACCAGCCAAACTGAGTGAGTGGCGATGCAAGCTAGCTACTGACTCAGCAGTCGCGTAGACACAGGGCTTTGTCATCCACCTCAAGGAACACGTAAAGTTCCTGAACACTTTGTAAATATATAATAGAACATTACTAATTATACAACATTTTTTGCATATTTTTGTTGAAACAACTATGTAAACAAAATAATAAGAAAATATTAGTGTTGAAAACAACAGTACCATATGGTACCATATGGTGCAGATCGTCAGTGTTCAGTGGTCAGTCGTCACGGTGAGGTCACTAGACCCAGAGCTGCTTTGGGGCTTAGCGTGGAACGGTTACAAAGCATGGCTTGCTTCTTCTGCAGGTGTTTTATTTAAAAACTGAGGTTGGAGAGTTTGAAGGAGGAGGTCTTGCTTCTCCAGGAGGAGATTAGGAGGCTGAAGGTTCCACCTCAATGGGCTGGAGAGAGTGTGAGGTGGTTGGAGATGTGGGGAATGAGGCTTCTAGCAGTGAAGGTGCATCAGTCTCTCACTGTGAGGAGGCTGTAGGTGGGAGGTAGCAAACGGCTACCAGCAGTGAGGTGCAGGCCCAGCACCTGCTACAACAGTGGCGAGTTGTTCACAGATAATGGGAAGGTGTGCGCATCAGAGTAAGGGAAAGCAAGAGTGAAGATCTGAAGGTAGGAAATCCGCTTCTCTGTTCTCCAGGATGAATGTACTTCAGTGGCCAGTGAAGGTAAGGGTACTACTGCCCCTGCTAATGAAGGTAAGCGCATTCTTGTGTTGGTGACTCCTCAGGTAAGATATGTTTGACCTTGCTTTTTGTAATTAGGAATAAGAAGATGAGAAAAAGTGTGCTTCCCTGGAGCTTGGTGTTGGGGACATTGTCAACAGACTGATAATACATGTCAGGTAATGGGAAACAAGCCCATTATCGTCACATGCAGGTGAAATGAATTGGGAAGTAGGAGAGAAGAGCTGCTAGATAAGTAAAGGTCAGCTATAGATTTCATTAAGTCTAAGAGGAGGGATCCCAACATATGTAGCATCTTTGCCTAAAGGGAGTAGGAAATGAATGGTTGTCTAGGCAAATTGTGTGTAAATTGCTGCTAGACAGGATACTGCAAGGACTTGCAATCCCAAATTCATTGAGCACTGAACAACTTTTATGGCATAACATGATGATAAGCAAGGGATGGGGTTCATCCTCTGGGCAGGGGTGGTAAGCACTTGCAGACTCGATGAGAAGGCCATTGGTGAGTAATGCCTATGAATTTAAACCTGAAGGAAGATAGAGGTACGGGTGTGTGTGGAAACAAGCAGGTTGCAACACTAGGAGGTTGGAAAAATTAAATGTATAAACAGGCATTCAAGCATAAGTTATAAATAAAGACAATAGAACAGGTCAGCAAACAAAGGGGACAGCAGAGGGCAGCAAGGACTAGCTCCCTTAAGGTTTACTATACTAATAGCAGAGTGTTAGAACTAAGATTGATGAGCAAAGGACATTAAATTGGCAAGTGCAGGAAACATAGATATTAATTCTATAACAGAGACCCTGCTCAATCGTGAAAGATAGAGAGATGGCCCTCTGATGTCACATACAAGCTATAATATTCCACACTGACAAGGGTCAACAGGAAAGTGAGTGAGTAGCGATGTATGGTCAGAGACTATTTAAATTGTTGTGTTAGACAAGATATTAAATTAGAAGCGTCAGCCACTGAAGTCTGTTTGGTTACAGCTTCTACGAGGCCGAGAAAAAACTAATGTTTGGGTGTGATTTACAGGGCCCCAAAATCTTGATATGGAAGTGGCAGTAAACTTCTATGGAAAACGAAATTCCGTAAGCATCTACATAACGAAAATTTGTGCTAATGGGAAATTTTCAACTATAGACAGATGACTGGAGCAATTTGACAGGAAATTTTAGAGTCGGGTGACATTTGATACGATCCAGGATTTTTTTTTAAAAACAGTTTGTGACAGACCCAACTGGGGGAAATAACCTCCTTGACTTGGTTCTTGCCAGTAGGGAAACCCCTAATTAATAATCTTGAGTTAATGATGAGCTTGGGAGAGTGATCACAAATCACTCAGTTTTAACATATCATGGAATTCCCCTAATAATGGCAATCAAGTCTCCGTCCCTGACTTTCGCTTGGCTGATTTCATAGGACTGAAAAATTACTTAGGTGGGCTGAACTGGAATGACCTGACTAGGGTCAGGTAGGTGGTGATGGTTGCCGATATGATGCTTTCCAGGGCATAGTTCTAGCTGCTCAGTCAAATTATGTTCCAAATAGGGAAATCAGATCAAACAAAAATGATCCTAAATGGATGAACAATAGATTAAAATATCTGATTGTCAAAAGAGAGGCATATATAGGCAAATCAAAAGAGGAGAGGGGCAATTAAGAAATCGATATATTCAGTTAAAGAGAGAAATAAAAAAGGGAATTAGAAAAGCAAAAAGAGATTATGAGGTTAAAGTTGCAAGAGAATCGAAGACTAACCCAAAAGGATTCTTTCGGGTATACAGAAGTAAGATCAGGGACAAGATAGGCCCACTCAAAATTTCCCTCGGTCAGCTCACTGACAGTGATAAGGAAATGTGTAGAATTTTTAACACATACTTCCTCTCAGTTTTTACACAGGAGGATAACCAGCGATATTCCAGTAATGATAAATTATGTAGAACAGGACGATAATAAACTGTGCACGATTAGGGTCACAAGTGACATGGCCTTAGGCAAATAGATAAATTAAAAACCTAACAAATCCCCAGGCCCTGATGAACTGTATGCAAGGGTTCTAAAGGAATGTAAAGAGGAGCTTAGCACACCTTTGGCTAATCTTTTCAACATATCACTACAAACTGGCATGGTGCCAGATAAGTGGAAAATGGCAAATGTGATACCTATTTTCAAACAGGTGACAGGTCCTTAGCTTCGAACTATAGACCAATAAGCCTAACCTCCATAGTGGGAA